TTCTACACATATTGTTAAGAATAATACCAAGCAGGTATATTTAAGTCCGGTGGAGTCATAATTATGATGCCTCCGGTAATTCTAGGGTAGTTAAAATTTTGGTAGTTCTAGGGTTAAACCAGGCCCGAACGTACCTTGCCAGGGTGCACAAACTGAAAAGTCAGTGTTTTGTCATCCTCTTATTATTGTTTGATTTGTTATCATTGCTGTGTAGGCCTGTGTTTCCTCGTCTCTGATGGTCAAAAGTGCAACACAAGGCGATGTCAAATAACTGGTATCGTTCATGAAGAGGTCAGCTCTATCAACACTGTTGGAGTCTTGTACTACACTTCACTAACTAAACAGCACGCCCAATGGCGAAACGTGATCTATGGCCAGAGAGTCTATACACTGTTTTCTCCAGATTCACAATGCAACATGATAGTACGCTACGTGAACTTCTACATTCAAGGAGGATCAGCCTGTCAAACAGATATTCAAATTATCCGTGGAGGGAAGGTGGAAACAACATGGCGCCACATCGCATATTGTAGCCGAACGGAACAAAGCTGTCTTCGATGGCATGTTCTGGATTCACTGTCATCTAACCTAAGGCAACAGTGTCCGCAGCCATCTCAAGTGAGAGTCTTCATCAAACCATTGGTGGCAAACAATGCAGTCTATAAGTGCAGTGTCAGTGCAAATACGATCAATATACCGATCATCCGTCTCTTCATGGAATGTAAGTGAAGTATAAAGGCAGGTCTATCTAGTGTTCGTGCGAATCAATTAACTTTAATTATTATTATATAGCAGTGCGAGCAGAATATGTACAGATAAAACACTTTTCCGTGGTGGTACGTCAATGTTTCCTTCCCAGGAAAAGGGAAAAGCCCTTATCATTTCACACCGGTAAGGCCTGTGCGGTGATCTAACGTCATATGTTGCCTTGCTTTTCTTATACAGTCATGTAGTTTCTGGATAGCAAATGCAGAATCTATCATAGTATGCGTTTCAAATGGTCATTATATCTCCATAGAGATAGTTATTGCTAATGAGAGGGAGTTTTCCACACACCAATATAGCTTTGATGCGTGCGGGAAACAATACGGAAGCCAGCCGGGTCAACAGAAGGTAATAATCAATCTCATATTTGTTTTCTACAACATCATAAAGTCCGTGTCCGTTGCCCGTCTCTACATTAGTTATTTTCACAGTTTACGTCAGGTAAGGATACAGCAAAAAACACTCCAAGACTTAAGGAAAGTACCATACAAATAAGTTTCATATCGTCTACTAAACCCTGCTCAGGATAAATAAAGCGTCTGCTCTGATCGTCAAAGCTCATGCTTCCTGCGGAATGACATGACACTTGACTGACTCACGACTGAGTCTGCAGCACATAAGAAGCCCATCGAACATTCCACACGGCAAACCTGCAGCAAGAAAGGACAACTCCCTGCTCAATTCACAGTGTTGTGGGAAATTCACACACATCAGTTGAGCTTGAGTAGGCTAACAAATTTTCAGTTCCGAGACCGCTGCATTATGTAGTGCGATCCGAGTCAAAACATCACTAGCCACACCAACTAAATCTTACAGTGACGCTCCGCTTCCAGGGGCAAAAACATCTTCTGAGCACCACGCAGCATCGTGACTCACTGTCGCACATGGAGTTGTGAGATCATACGCTGAGGGTCGTTGCCATTCGCAACGCTGCCACCTCCAACCAGCTAGTCTTATCCCCACGCAGGGGACAACAGAACCAACGAAAATGTTTCAACTCCGGTGGTAATTGCTAAAGGAACACACAGTGTCCTGCCAAGTGATGTGGACACAGGACACGGTCTACTGTGAGAGTGGGATAATGCAGCGAAGGCAGGTCAAGTAGTGTGGCGCAGGTGCAGCAGGTGGGGATAATAAGGACTGTGATGATTAGTATAGTGACGATGAGCATCAAGAAGATGAGGAGGGCGACGACGATGGGGATGGAGATAACAAGAAGATATCGGCGGGGTACAAGCACCTGTTGTCAAGTGAGCGGAGTCGTCAGTCACGTGATGGTTCATGGTTTAGAGTTGTGTGTTGGGTTTCGCAATTTCTCTAAATTGAAGGTTTTTAATTGTAGGTTAGTGCATGGCAGGTAGGGCCTTGTGGCCTGTTTCTTCCTTTTCCAAAGGTATCAAATCGCTCTATGTACTACCTTTCACACTATTAGGTCCTTGTTTGCCGTTACTGTCTTTTCTGTTGAAAACTGGTGCACTTTCTCTACACATTCTCTGTATTTTCTTTCATAGCAATAACGTGGAGTTATTCCAACTGATAACTGTCACAAGGAAGTGTTTTAGGAATTTACTTACCAACGGTGGCAAATGACAGTCACTCTTTTCAGCTGCTGCTCTTCATCTATAATTATCAAAGATCTTAGCTACTTCAAAATTTGTGCTTTTCTGTGAAATACACGATGTGCCCGATGTTTGTTCCGCGGTGAACTGTGATCTGGCTCGAATAAAGAATGTATACATAATACATGTGAAAATAAGTACAAGCTTGATACTTTCTCTACATAGGAGTTATATGAAGCACCTGGTCAAAGTAATGACGAGAGACAAAAATGAATGGTGTTGATCATCATCACACTGCCCAATTGAATCATTCTTGCTACATTCTATAAACCTTTATCCGTCTAGACTGCCCTGATGTTGTCCAGGCTGGCAACTTTGGTTACCGGTTTTGTTTGTACCTACCAATTTGCTTGTGGTTACTCCAGATTCGACCGTGGAAGAGCCCACTACATTGGCACCCACTTCACATGGGCCTATGCCGACAACTGGCATAGCAAGACTGGCAACATCCAAATATATACCAGCTAAACCAAGAACTACATCCATTTCACCGACCATCACCGCAACAGAGCACACCACACAGCCTACATCCGAGGTCCCAACAACAATTGGAAATTGGCCTGTGAAAGCATCCTGCGAAAAGCCCGGTATTGAAATGTTCACCTAGGACCATTTTGAAAGCACACCCTTTCTCCATCTTACAAATGTTCTCCATTGTCCGCATATAGAGCATAATTGTCTGATGAGTATTGAACTGTACCCGTGGGAAATAGACTCAAGAAGATTCAATTTGGAACTATCACCTAGTTAAGAACCTAGATACCCTCCGCCTGGATTAGCAAGGATATGCCAAGAGATGTGGTGAAATTGAATATTTCGTTCAGAGCAGAGACCCTGTTGTGACTTTTAAATTGACATCGACTTTATATGCAGAATGCATCCACATGTGGCCAGACCGCTAAAAAATCGCTGTATCCCACAGCCGACCACCACCCCAGTATCTCCCTCCACAAATCAAGAAAAAACCTTTACATTGTGCATGTATTTTCATTCCCAATTTGCCAAAAGCCTATCGCACACTCTGAGTACAATTGAGGATAAGTTTATGCGGCGTATTAAGGCTGAACTACAGACCTCTATACTATTGCAAGAGTCCTTACATTGTACAAGTATCGGCATTCGAAAGTTGCCAAAAAGCCTAATTCTCATTCTGTGTAAAGTTGAGGATAAGGATACGGGGCGTAAGACTGTAAAGCACGGACATTACAGTTATTGCTAGAGAGACACAATGGAGGTTAAGTGCATTTTGCAATTCTGATGAAAAGCCAAACCTTAATATTTCACTCGGATGGTGAGCCAATTGAATTATAGTGAAAAGAAGAAAGACAAAATGTTACGAGTTATGACTAACTGTCCACCAACGTAACCAGATCTTATACAGTTAGCGAGTGCAACAAAATGGAACAAAACCGACAAGGAGTACTGAGACATTGGTGGACAGTTAGTCATAACTCGTAACACTTTGTCCTTTTTCTTTTCTTAATATTTCACCTGGTATATGTACATCGTTATCCGACGGGAAATACCGTGATGATTGCATCCTTATGCCTATTGCACCGTTGTTCCTTTCCTTGTTTCATTGCCTTCAGGTTCGGTACAATCGCAGTCAACTGTAACAACCACATCATCCACTACGGCTTCAGCTGAACCACATATATCAAGTATGAACAGCGCTGGAACACACGAAAACGCAATCCCCACTACACGCGAAGCAACAGCTGCAGCTCCTCTACCGACAATTCAATCGACCAGCGCATCTCTGATTGCTGAATCGACAAACTACACCTGGATAGGTATACTGACTGGAAGCATTCTAACTGTGGTTCTTACTGCTGGACTATTTGCGATTTTATGTAAGATGTGCCGCCGAACCTCCGCGCAGGTCCGGATAATTGACACCCAAGCTCATACTAACAAGCCGGACACTCAGGCGTTCAGCAATCCTTACTATAGCTGCTCCGACTTGCGTGGAAATGCGTGTGATCCAACACGAACCGTGTATTATGCCAACCCACACCGAGACTACCCACCAAACCAACCAGGGGCTACGGGGACACAATACACAAACACTAATCCACAAGATTGCAACAACCTTTTGCTACAGACATCGAACACGTCCAAGGCTGAGGCAGAATACTCATTTGCTGGCGCAGTGGCAGACCACCATAACATGCCCCAACAGGAAAACCGGGAACATCCCCTTTACTCTTGTGCAGAGGAAACCTCGGTTCTAGACACACAGCAACGAACTGACTCCACCTATGATAGACTGCGCTATGCAAGCAAGGAATGGGGCACTGACGGAGACGCAAGGCAACAAGTGTATTCTGATGTGAAGGAAATTGACCATTTCCACCAACCACAACAGTCAGAGTCATCATACGACAAACTATGCCATCCCATGAGTGCGAAGGAACGGGAATTCAGCGGGGAGCGACAATCACAGATGGATCATGGCGAAGGCGCAAGTGCCCCCGAAGACCAGCCAGAGGAATTGGATCCTACGTACGACAACGTACCAGAGCACAAAGGTGGCAAGGAATCCTGCGCTATTGCAGACATACAGCAACAGGACTATGACAATGTTGATTTGCGTTAAAGGCGGTTTTACACAGGAGATACGTGCGGCAACCAAGATCCAAACGCCAAGCGTGAGCGAATATATATATATATATATGTACAGCTACGACGAGATATTGAAACCTTTGAATACACGAATGCAGACTTAGAGTGTTCGACCAGTTATGGAGTATGCCCCCCTCATCTGGATAGGTGCTCCGCCCAGCTACCTGCAACGCCTGGATCATATCCAACGCTGTGCTCTGCGAATCATCGGTCCAGGTGCACTATTACCTAGCCTGGCCATCCGTCGTACTGTTGCCTCGCTTGCCTGCCTATACAAGCTGCATTACCTGCCTGGCCCTCCGCAGCTGCTCTCTGTTTTGCCACCGCGCTATTTCCCCTCATCCAGCCCCAGAACTCGCAGCGAGCATGGTAGCGTCATTGGCCATGACCACCAGCTCCAACACCAGCTGCTTGCATCTGTCCCGCTGGCATTAAAGCGCTCGTTCCCACACTGCAGTATTAGTGACTGGAACTCCCTCCCCGCCGCTCTTCTGTCCCAGCCTCCCCACAGCAAGGGAATGCAAGCATTCAAAACTAATGTTTATCGCCATCTGCGAAGCACAAACTGGCTCTGGGCGGTCGACTCGCTATGATGATGCTCTCGTCGTTCTCCTCTATCCCTATCTATGCACCACAACTGGCTCAGAAAACCGACTCGCCATGATCAGCCATGATGATGCTCCTCTCAGTAACAGCCCTTGTAATTTGTTAATAGTCTCACAGTTTCTCCCGCACACTCGCTGATGTTAACCCTTCCTTTCTTTTCATTTTGCTGACTCGTACAGCTCTATCTTTTGTTTTTGGTGCGTGTTTTTGGCCGTGATGCCGAGACCTCAGGTCGGCAGAGCCATCAATGCCCCACCATCACTGCTGCGTCTCGGTGCAGCCCCTGCTCAATAGTTGTCACGTTTGTCTCAGTATAATTGTCTTTCTTTATTATTTTCGAGCTGGGAATGTGAACATAGTAAAAAAAAAATAAAAAAAAAAAAAAAAAAAAGTGAAAAAATGGAAACTTGCACGTATGCTTAAGTAGCTGCATTTGGCCATTGCCGTTTTGAATTTCACCACTTGAGTGCGTGTATGTACGTGAGATCACCTGTTTACATCATGTTGATGCCACTGACTTAAAAGCGTATCTCGTCACTTTATGCTGACCTTCGAGTAGGTTGATTCAACGCTAGTACTCCAGATACACAAGGATTCCTTCCGATGATCATTCTAACTGATCGACACTAAATTTCGATGCTAAATTTGCCTGGTACTTTGCACCACATCAAGTAGGCCCTTTGAATATACCACCAATATGGTCAACGTATTCCTGTGTTAAGAATGATTAGCGAACATATTAACAGTGCAATATCCTGCAACTGACCATGTAGAGTTACAAAAAAATCACATTTTGAGTTATACATACCCTGCACATGCATTAACATTTTCATTTTCCTGAAATCCCCCAATTCAGCGTAATGCATACACTGTAGTTTCTGCCATACCATAGATGGTGCATTGTACTGAACTACAACAATTTGACATCCGTATTTTCCAGATTTCATCTTTGGCAGTTTCTAATCAGCATCACCTGCTTACGTAATGAAATTCCTTTTTCTTGTCTAAACCATTTCCTTCCTCTAGTTTGTTCGCCTTGCTGCCTGAACCGATGTCCCTACTCCAGATTTCACAATACTGACCCTGCATATATCCATGCCTGCGTGCTGGGTGCCTGAAGAAGTTTATATTGGGCTAGGTGTTTCGGTGGTGTGAACTACATTGTCCTAGTCACATCAGACATCTTGAAACCTGCAGCAATTCATCTTTCATAGTCCGTTCAGGATCCTGTGAAACGGTTTTCAATTGAAATAGAACTGTAACTATGGTTTTGTACAATGTGTCTTATATTATAATGTTGGACGCAATAAGAGGTAATCTGATTAATTTTAATGTCTGAAGGAAAGAAACAGCACGAAGGAACTACAAATTACGTGATACCGTGCAATGAAACACCCGTCACTTGACTATCAGCTCATTCCATAACCAACCACGACACTGACAGATGTTACTGATGTTCTAAAACTTACTTCCAATCAACTCTTTCACGCATAGGATGTGCACTGGAACAGCTGACTCCATAATTGAAATATTACGTAGTTGTTATTCTTACGGAAATTGCCTTGAAAGACAAACGGCCGGCCAGCCCGAAATGCTATCACCATCGGCACAGATCCAGTACTGCATACAGAAACATACAATGTTCTCATCGTCCAAATCCTGAACGCCTGTACTTTAGGAATTCTGTAATTGGCGACTACTCCCGCAACGTAGCTGCCAATGTCTATAATGACGAAATATCGTGCAATGAGTTCCCATTACCGATTTCGCTCAAGTATTGTTCCGTCCTTTGGTAGGTTATATCAGTCACCTTCTGTAATACTGTGAACAAAAATGCTTCTGCAAGCGTTGGAGCTCGTGCCTCCTGCTGACTGACTTTCGCATGACTGACTTACAACTGCCGTTTGGAGTGCACCAGAAAGAGGCCTGATCATCCACTCGTCTAAATTTCAAAACTCCATCAGTGTCAGCCAGTCATTCGGTCCGCATGAAGCCCAGATTTTAAACCATCAGCCACAATATTCTTCTACAGTTATCTCCGAAGCAGTGAGATATCAGTAAGAAACACTGATATCAGTAAAAAACACTGCCACAAATAGGTTGAACTGATGAGTGCATTATCATGAAATAATAATTATATGATTGAATACTGCTGAAAGGCCATCTACCACGACGTGCCCTTTGTCGAAAAACGCTGTCAGGACTGCAGCAGCTTCGCGTGCTCCCCTAAAACGTCTCAACAACATGACCCCTGGATCACAGGAGTTTCACAGGGGTATCATGGTCAAGCCGATCGTTCACTTACATTGGTTTCACACACCGTTTGTTTCCACGAGTTGGTTCACCTAGCTTCTATCAGCTCATGATGCTTTGCGTCCGTGCTCCATAAAGAGAGAGAGAGCAAAATTTTTGGATGATATGTGTTACTGCTCCGAACTTTATTTCAATTAATCTAGAGTTAACTGCACTCTTTTGATTATACATGTACTTGCAAGTGTATTATGTCTAGTAGCTCTTTCATAATGCGGATAGTGACACAAACTGTGCAGCAGTACGAAAACGTACCAGCTATTGTCTCGATTGGTTCGTGGACTTCAATAGGGAACCGTACGCTGACCTCCGCCTTGCGGTCCAGATAAGAGAGAAAGCTGCTATGACATATGGGCATTGCTCTGACGGAGTCAATCAACAAATGGCACGTAGGACTTGCAAGGAGGAATTGGAGTACGGACACTGATGGGGAACACAAAGTACCTGATAAATAGTTCAAGGAGGATAACAGCACAGTGCGCTGAAAGGAAAAAAACTAGAATATGGGCTGGTGGATGAGGAATTCAACGCTCTTCATCATAAGAGTGCAAACAGTGTGACTTTGCGTTTAGCGGTTCTGTGGAAGATTGCCTGAGCTACTGTTGTCGTGTTGTCATGTTACTGCATTGATTTCAAGTTAGCGCTAAGACACTACTAAGTCTGAAGAACTAGAATACAATCATGGACATGATTGTAGTACAATCATGTGCATGATTGTACTACAAGCATGTACATGCATTTCAGTTATTGCAGAGAAGTAAACTGACCTCATACTGTCAACTTCTATTCGCGTAAACAAGGTGCGTATCGTGACCAGACAGGTGTGATTTTAAGTTTAGCTCACCAGTAGAATACCGGATGGCGTTAGACTGGCTGTCTCCAACCGTAACGACGCAAGAGTTTTCGAAATGGTACAGACAGAGTAGATGTACATGGGCCTAGATTCAAAACAAGTGAAGTCTGAGCAAGATAGGTTATTGCCGCAGATACACGCCACCTTCATACTGGCGTGAATTTATACACATATGCCACATATGATAAATTTCATGGGATGCTGTGTCAATTATTTGGATCCATCACCACACCATAACTGTGCGCTCCAGCCAACCGTGACACGTTGCCACACCATACACCATCAGCATAGCAAGACATTCATAGGTACTGAGTTCCTCCGTACAGCTGTTTGGAGTCCACAATTCTCGTCAGTGAAGGATAGGAGAGAGCATGTATTGTGTGGCGGGTGGTTAAAATTCTGTACAGAGCCGAATGAGTCCGCTTAACCATTATTAAATGCTGTATCTATGCTCATTCCACCCGGGAACATTAGTGAGAATTGTGGAGAAGCGACTGGTTTATCAGTCTAACTGTAAAATCTGTGCAATCACTTACTTCTATAACTATTTGTCATGGATGGAGTTGTGAATACTTCTCAGTTCACGCACATTCTTTTCCTACCTGCACTATGTTGGGACTATGCCGTTTCCTTGTGCTAGCACGCCACGTGCGTGCCACTGAACATATGGTGAAGTATGGTGAATAATTATTACTGCTATTCAAAAAGCAAGATCCACGGTAGGCCGTTGATAACCTAGTCTGCATGGCCATATCTCTTTGTAGCTTTTTGGTGCTACATGATATGGGCACGGCGACTTTACTTTTGAGTTTGACGCCCTACCTCTATCCAGCATGCCATATAATAAATGCAACGGGACAAGGATGGAGAAATACCGCAAAGGCCACGAATAATTACAAAACGTCGCATGGTCTTTATCACAACCACCATTCCTTTCACTCAACTGATTCGGAACTTGCTTTCTTCAGATTGGAGGCATTATGAAGTACACAACACGCACAGTACTGCCAATGGGTCAAAGCCACAAACTGTAGTCATAAATATTATCGCAAAGCCGCTTCTTCTGTGACGAAGCGGGTATCAATGCGAACTGACTGGAACATTACAAAACACCACTTGATGTTTGCCGAAAACTGAGCAGCATGGACTAACCCTAATAACGTCCTCACACTCACAGGATGAAACATAGAAGAAAGTTTAATAGTAAGCTTCTATCAACAAAGTGCATACATACACCCTCACATAACCTTATGACCGAAAAAGTGCAACC